TGTTCAAAATTGGTTCTTGCATGTTGACAGGGATTTTCCCTTATATTCCTCAGAGATAATTGGCACTTATGTAGGTTATGAGTGCATATATAGTGTGCCAGTAGTCAACTGAGGACAACCAAAAGTGATGAATACACTTTTTAATTGTGTATTTGATAACTCACATATATACATTGGGTATTAGTTTGCTTAGACTGAAAACATAACAATGATTCTAAACTGATGGGTTGACCAGTTTACATTTGAGATTTTACTAGATGATTGACAGATTTCTGCACTGACATTTCTTCAGTAGAGGAGTGAAAAATACCAGACTTTGAACATCAAGTTCATAGCATGATGTTTTATACCCAAGCATCATTAAAAAAATAAGATGTGTACACCAAACACACAGTCCATTGAACATGTGTGCAACTCTGGGTCTTGGTAATCAAATCAGCAGTTATTTACCATTTCAATAGCTTGCATCACTTGGAATGACCTAGTTTGACTACTAACACTCAGTGATACCATATAGAAAAACAACTACAGGCTAATTGTCTGAGCATATTCATTTGGGCCAAAAAGCAAAACCTCATAGATGCACTACTGTACACACACAATATTGCCAAGCTTGGAATTCCATGTCCACAAATTGGTATGTATATCATGAACAATCTAAATGTAAAAAATGAAACCAGCTGGTCTGTTGTCTGAATGAACATGAAATATTTACGATAGCTATCATATTGAAAATGACCTTCATTTATTTGAGGATCTTTACATGTGTTTTCCATATTGAAAATTTGTCTGCCTCCTTCAAATCAGAACATTCATAGAATATCATATGGAAATGAGGACACATCGATATCAAAACATACTAAACATTCATAGCAAAAAGAGGCTTTGAAAATAGACCAGCAGTAGGAAGCAACCAATAAGACAATTAACAGAGAACAGAGCAATGATGACTTGAAGAAACCAGGAAAAGTACAGGAAACAGGCTAATTTGAGTTATTTGAAAGGTTAGCAAGCATGTCTTCTGCCATTTGGATTTGTGCCACAGCATTTATATCTGCTAAATATTCATCTTCCTCATCATCATCTTCCTCGTCTTCCTCGTCTTCCTCGTCATCATCTTCCTCGTCTTCCTCGTCTTCCTCATCTTCCTCGTCTTCCTCGTCTTCCTCGTCTTCCTCGTCTTCCTCGTCTTCCTCGTCTTCCTCGTCTTCCTCGTCTTCCTCGTCTTCCTCGTCTTCCTCGTCTTCCTCGTCTTCCTCATCTTCCTCGTCTTCCTCGTCTTCCTCGTCTTCCTCCTCTTCCTCCTCTTCATCTTCAGTTCTTGCAAAAATTTGTAACAGGCCTTCATGAAGATCACCTGGTATACCAGAAAGAAATCCAAACCGCAGTGTAGACTTGATGTTTTGGAGTTGGAGGTTCCATTTTTGTTTGAGTTGATTGTCGTCTGATTGAGGTGCTGTTTTGTTGAAGACTTCAGCTATGTTTTCATTCCATTCTACCTGCAATCTTGCAATGCGTATCAGATGTGAGTGCAATAAGACTTTTCCTGAGAGGATTTTTGGAGCCATTGAAATATTTGAACTCAAGCTTGTATGTTCTAACAGAGGTTTCAACTGCACAGGTAGGTCGCCTGGTGTAGCAGCTACCGATAGCTGACATAATCCAGTGAGTAACGACCAAACTAGTTCATGTCGGCCAACCACCCAGTGCATTGTGCGTCGTACTTCCCAACCAAGCCGTCTCTTTTCCTCAATTCCCCGCTTGTAACTTGCAAGTTGTCGAATACCACGCTGAGTGTGAATATCAATCGCCCAGGGCTCATTGCCATTTGTAAAGAAGCCGTCATTCCAAAATGGATCATCAGGTTGTAGACGAAGAAGCTCAGAATATTGAATGGTGGGTGGCGGATGGTGGGTTGGACAGGCTGCAATGAAAGCCTCAGTTCGCCTGTTGTAATTTTCAAGTGAATGCTCGAGTTGATCAGCTCTCTTGCGCACTGCTGCAACTAGTCTTTGGTTATCACGTGTCCCTACAAATATCAATAGATGGATGAGGAAATTGTCATTCTGGCAAAGTAAGTCCCAAATGAAAGGACCCACCCAATGTAGTACTTTCCCCAGCACGACATGCTTGAAATAAAGGCTGCTTTTCCTCCACTAATGCCAGGAACCGCTGTCGTATCTCAATCTTAGAGTACCAGACTTTCCAGAGTAGATCACATTGTGCCCCTATTATCAATTAAAATCAAGGAATTAATGACAATGGTATTAAAGTTGTAAAAGCCATAAGACAACATCATCATCAAACATTAAATGGACTTAACTTGTCAGATTATCAATTATCATATCAGACTGGATCTTTGATCGTTGTCGGCGGATCTGAGCAGCAATATCACTGCAAGTTCTTGCACGAGCTACTGCCTGAGCCGGTGTTGGGACAACACTCTCCCTAGAGTGCATATATGTTAGTCTTTGGTGCCACAATGTTTAAATCATTAGATTCATGTAATTGTGGACCTACCATGCCTCATCAAGCTCATCTTGCAAGCACAGAAGCCGACCTAATTCTTGTTTTTGGGATTCACGCGCCTGATTGAAGTTTAGGTGGTACTCTTGCTCAAGAGCCCATTGTGCTTCAAAAAAGTTATTAGTGTAACAGCTACCAGGCAAGTAGGGATTTGGTATACTGTGTATTTGTCTAAGTGCTGCACTGGCTTCCTTGATTGTTTCTTCAGCATTTTTCAGCTTATCTAGTAGCCAGTTGGCAGATGAATCAAGCAGGTGATCAGAAAAGTAATCTGATCTAGTTTGAATAGCGATTAGTCGATGTAAGCGTGTTGAGACACGAAGGGTAGACACAAGGGGCGACAAGAAAGACCAGTATCGCTCAAGACCTTCTCCATCAGTCAAACCCCACCATTTATTGAGACGAGGGTTGTATTTCACTTGGCATGACCATTCATGCACATAGGCGTGAAATACTGAGGTTCCAAACTGGAGATCACCAATTCGGTCACTCAAAAGGCCTCGCTGTCAAAAGTTTGATCATATTAGCTTATTGCATTGGTTTATGCCAATATCAACATCAAGTGACGCTTACCTTTCTTATGTGAGCTTCAAGATGACACCCAATGTCGTATAACACTCCAAGCTTTAGACTAGGAAAGTCAAGTAATATATTTCGAAGCAGAGATATGGGGTAGTATAGCCTAATCATATTTTGATTAATAATTGGTAACTTGGGATCTGGACAAATCAGGAGTTGGACTTACTTCTCACCACTCTTGTGCACATTCAAATGCATGAGCGGAACATCATGTCGACAAGTACTTGCAAACAATCCATTGTCGTCGCATTTATCCCAGGTTGACTCATCGCGGGTATCATTGGCTGCCTTGTGTTGATCTGAGCAGGGTGGCTGACAGGTGCCATATTCAACTATCAATAAGAGTCTTTCATAATATCATGTTTGAACCTAAACTTACATTAATTCCAACTGCTGATGCCTCTGTCTCTTCAATGGCTAGTACATCTGAGCTGATCTTCGAGGGAGGGAGGAAACTATGAGGATACTGATCTTCACGAGGCTCATCTTTACTGGCGTATGCATAATGTCGTTGCTGAAAGTTACCGTCCATTGCGACAATGACATCAGGCTCTTCTGTATCCTGTTTGATTTCGGTTTGGCTTGGGCCAAAGCAACGTGGGCATTTACTTGCCCACTTGTCGGCTTTAGTAAGTTGCAGGCCGTCTTCAAGAAGCTTTCTCTGACTATTCAATATGCGGCGATACAGATCAATGCAATTGGTGAAAGGTACTCGAAGTTGGCGCCGCTTCCAGTTTGATCCTCGGTTGAGTAATGGACTGTCACTACGGTTATCAAGGAAGGTTGAAATGGACTGGATAAACGCGGATGTAGATACCGCAGATGCTTGCCACAGTAGATGGTGATATTGAACAAGCCGAATTGAGAAGGCAGATCGAGGTTTTTCCACAGAGCAGGCAAAGTAACCGTGGTGCATGAGTCGGATTGGATCGGGTGTACATTTGCAAAAGGCAATGAGCTGACTTGGTCGCCGATCTGGGGTGAATTTTTGGAGATTAAAAACATTATCCTTCTGATGGGAAAACAGAACAGAGATTGCATGCTCACGGAGTAAGTCAACCAAGTCAACTTGTCGATGATGAATGTTGATAGATGCACATGTACAGAAATCAAGCGGCGATGCAAAGTCCACCGCAGGCTGGGTCCAGTTGAGTGTTTTTTGCTGGCACAAGAGGTAGGTGGCCAGAGCTTGGTCATCGATCAGGCCCCATTGACAACTGATACGATGACGTTTCTCGGCGTAGCGGCGAAGGCGGAAGTATTCTGCATGGGCAGCAATTGGTATGCTACGCTCATGGTTGTCGAGGTCGTGCTCATCCTGATCTTGACTAACGAAGCCTCCAAAAAATGGTTCCAAGCGCGGTGAGGATTCTTCCATGTGCCTTGGTTGGGACTGGGTTGTTGGTCGCCGCCCTGCAACTGGATGGCCGAGTCTTTCAGCAAGCCGAACAGATTCGGAATAACGGCGACGTTCAGCTTCATGGTCGTACATGTTGTGTCTCATGGTCCGGCTTCGTCTAGAGCTCCCAGTATTTATGGTGTGATGGTCTGTGTTGGTCCTGCTGGTTCGTCTTCTACGAGTCTGGTTGGCCATGCTGTTCAAGAGATGTGAGGTAGATGAGGAGTGGAATCGAGGATTGAACGATTGAAGAGAGAGAAGCAGTTGTCAGTGTTATGGATATGCCGAAGGGGTGTGAAGCGATACAGCGGTCTCCGTCCCGTTTCCCAGTTCCGGATGGGATAAGTGCGCGACCTCCAGTTCTGTTCGGCCTCCCAAAAAAAGAGGGGGTTTGATGCCCAACAGCAGAGGGGCAGAGCTGACGCAGCCGCGCAGCACGGCTGGTCGAACTTGCAAAAAAAAAAATCCAGTTTACATATGTAAACCGTGCAATGTAAAGAGAAACAGCGAGGAGAAACGAGGTAAGCCAAATGGCTATCCCGTAGTCCACACGGAGGCGTTTTGTGGACTATTGAATAGTCGATTCACAGTCTACAGGGGTGGCCAAAAGATGAAAACAAACAAACAGAAACGGAATGAGGTTTTTTTTAAATTGATTATTATTAATTTATCTATTAAGATCGGTAGAGGAGTACATAACACCTGAGATCCTCTGAGAAACTTACGCGATGAGTTGGGAGGCATCAGTTGTATAGATGAGTACCTACCAAGCAGCCGTTGTGATTTGGATGTTCAAGAAGTGAGTCAGTCAATACAGTCGATGAAAAGCAACCAGAGCTGAACTCACCGTGCAGGTTTTCAATGTCTTCAATACGGAAGGTGCCGGTTTACCCTTATCACCCAACAACCGACCCCACCGATCGACAGAAATACTGTCGAACGCACTAATGTCCGGGAAAGCCCTTCAAGTCAGTTGACAGTCTCTGATGTTATATGTAGGGCCATCGATAGAAACAACACTTACTCTTGACAATCTTTGTCCACAGTTAATGGTGCGTTGCTGTTAAGACCACAGGTCAAAGTGGTAGGAGCGAGGTAATCGGTATCATGCAGTGATTGATGGTTTTGGCTTTCAACATAAACTGAATCGGATAAGCTGATTGAACCCGTCTTGTGATATCAATTCGGTTGTTCAGTTGAGGATGTTTGGGCGTGTTTTATAAAACAGATCGAATGATAATGTTCGTCAATAATTGGCAGACTCTAGACTGCTTTATGTATCATTGTTGTTTGATGTATGTTGGAGGGAAAATGATCACTCACATTGGGTTTGCATGCGTCCAAGATACTCTTGAAACCAGCCTCGATTTGTTGCTTGGTTCTGATGATCAAAAGATTTGTTATTCATCAGTTCATCATCACGATCGATCCCTTGGAATTCGTACGGCTCCAAAGAACAGAAGTTAACTGACACTACCTCCCTATTGGGATTGTTAACGAGTATCTTTTTTTTTTTGAAAACATCTTCGCTTAGTCTCTGCTGACAGAAGGCACATCCTATCTATGATAAGGTTCAGGAATCTTTAAACATACGGTACAATTGCCCGAGAGCTTCGCAAACCTGCTCGAGACTCTATCAAGAGTGTTCTTTGGCTTATCATAGACGATAGTTGCGATGGCTCTGGTTAATAAAGCAGACACCAATTGGATTTCGGGAGTTGATTTACATAAAGCGAAAGTAAGGATCAGTTCCCGAAGATTGAACGGATAGACATTCGACGAGACAGAGATTTCGTACCGAGTGCACTCATTCCAATCAACTACTTCGCCACCAGCACAGTTCAATGCAGTGGAGCCTGTACGAGCCAACCAAGCTCCAGTGAGCAGAGACATAGCAAGGGCAAGGTGATGAGAGGGAGCAAGCATGATGATGATCTTTAGAAGTATCAGTTTTTTTCTTTTTCTTTTTCTGGTTTTCGGCACAAGTTGAGATGTGGTTGGTGGGAAGAAGACCTCTCTCTGCAGTGAAGGAATCGATAGGCTTTTATAGTCTTTTTCCTTCCAGCCAGTCCTTCCCACTTTACAGTTGCCTCTGGGCCTCATCCCATCCGATTCCCGCACGGATCGATTGCATGCAGAGCAATTGGAGCATCTCCGAAGCAATACCAATGTCCAATGAGCTATGAGGATATCCAATAATACTCTTTCGCCCACCCTCCGCCCGGTCTTTACACTCTTGATGGTTAAACAGTTGTTGGTGCTTTGCGGTGAAAATCATCGAGAGATGGACCACTCAGCTGGCCGATACAGAGATTCTCGGCCAGTAAGAACTCAGCAATTCCGGTTCGATGTACCTCAGATCGATCTACCTCATGCTACAATACATTCGTAAGCTTCTCGACCCCTCTGCAGAGAAAGATCTTAGACCTGGTCATTTGAGCCTGATGGGGAACGACAGACTATTCCCAGCGCCGATGCTCCCATACTCAAAGTCAGGTGCTCATTACAAACCCAGCTGCAGATGGATTTCTTTTGCTTTTTCTTCTTTTGATCGAATTGGCTGACTGATATGATTCGAGTTTCTCTCTCAGCCGCAACCATAGTGTTTGCCCGGCAATTAAAAAAACAAATTGATCTTTTGAGTTTAGAAGAAGAACAGCTTGCGACTGATCTGTTCTAAAAGAGCAAGGACTAACAAAAGTAGAGTATATTACGATGGACAGAGAGGAATATACAACTGCTTTTGTTCCACACTATATATAGGCTACTACAGGAGGCTGAGGCTCTCGGCGAGACATATGTAATATCTAGGTTACTAGTATTACATGGTAGTATGGAGTGATCCGGTGATCTTAGGATCAGGATTACTCTATGCTACAACACCCCCCCTCTCGCCAGAGCTTCCCCTGACACCTTTAAACATTGATCGACATGAAGAACCGGAGACAAGTTTTTGGTGAAAATATCTGCAAATTGATGTTTTGTATCTACCCAGTGCAAATTAATTTTTCCTTCATAGTAAGCTTGATTGCTGATGTAGAATTCCCGGTCTGTGTGACGAGTCCGCTTGTTTGATCCATCCTTAGTTCCTATCTTGATCGCTGCTTGATTATCACAGAAAACATCTGCCACAAAAGTAGAACCTGTTAAATCCAGTAAAAGATTTCTGATCCATAGCACTTCTCGTACACCTATCCCCATTGCCATGTATTCGGCATGAGCGGTTGAGCTAGCAACTGTTACCAATCGCTTAGAGACCCAGGCAACCGGGCAACCAAAGCAAAAAATGATCAAACCGTGTGACGACCTAGAGAATTCGCCCCCCCAATTCGCGTCGACATAGCAAGAAAGCGCTCCACAGGCTTTGTTTGGTGTTAGGTATAATGCTTGGTCCCGTGTCGTACCCAGGTAAGCGATTAAGTGCATCAGGAATTTCCAGTGTGCCTTTGAAGGGTTGGAAGAAAAACGGGCCAAAAAATTCACAGAAAACGATATATCCGGTCGTGTAGCTACGGCTAAATAGGACAAGGACCCGACAATGGAGAGATAAGTCGTAGGATCTTCGCCGACCGGATCAGGGTTGGTTTCTGGTAGCGCAGTGTTAGGGAAAGGAGTTTTTGCTGTCGTAATACCATCCCATCGCTCACTCAAAATCTTGTTCGTTAAATTAGGTTGTCGTAGGATAAATCCATCGTCATTACGTTGGATCGAGATACCCACAATATTGTCGAGACCGGCAGCCCATTTTATTTTGATCGAATCCTTAAGTTGTTTCTCTAGCTCGCGTAATTGTTCCATACTTGGTCCGGTAATGATACCATCATCCACATGTATCCAAATAGCCCCACTCCTTCCACCCGTTAGACAGTAGACACTTGTATCATACTGTGAGGAATGATACCCGAGCCCTTCAAGGATACCACTAAGGTGTTTCCACCAACAACGCGCAGCTTGCCTCGTCCCATAAAGAGCTTTGTTCAAACGGCAAGCAAAATTCTTCGGGACATCCAGACCTTTCGGCGCCTCAACCCATATCTCTTCGTCAATAGGGGAGTTTAAGTAAGCCGCAACAAAGTCGAACGAGTGTACTGGCCAACCGTTTTTCGCAGCGATCGTAAGTATTAACCTCATAGAGACGAAGGTTGCCGTAGGCGCAAAGGTGCTACCAAAGTGTTCACCTTTGATTTGCGAGTAACCCTTCGCAACATACCTGGCTTTAAATCGAGTTACTTGACCTTCATCGTTCAATTTTTTGGCGAAAACCCATCTGGCCCCAAGTACACGGGTGTTGTCTGGAACAAGTTTTACGTCCCATACTCCTAGTTCCTGTAAATTTGCCAGTTCTTCTTTAATAGCCAGGATCCATTCCGCTGCATTCTTGTCTTTTAGCGCTTGGTTGTACGTGCGGGGTAGAGAACCATCACCTGTAGTCTGAGTGAGAGCAGCCACAAGTTCCTCCTGTTTGTCGAACTCGATCTCGTCGGAAAAGTCCCCCAATGAGAATCTGTTAACTACACACTCAAAAGAGTCACCAGTGGGTGGCACGATCCTTTCCCGACGAACTATCTCCGCTGGAACCAAGTTCTTGTCTTCCAAGTCCAGGAACCTGCAAACGGCCGAGTTGACAAAGCGATCCTCCGATGGAATCCAGAAGCACCAGCCACGGCTGTCCGATAGACAGCTTACCAGGATGCCCTCAAGAGCCCGATCGTCCAACTTTTGACGGTGTTCTTCCACTACATGTACAAAGCCTTTCGCACCGAAGGGCCTCAGAATATCGAGTAATGGTTTCCTGCCAAACAACTTTTCGTAAGGTGTGACATCACCACTAGCTTTGTTTGGTATTCTATTCAGGACCATGCCGGCCCACTGAAAAGCTAGGCCCCAAAACGCTTTCGGTAGTCCACTGTCCACCAATAAAGTCCGTCCCGTTTCCTGCAGTGTCCGATTGAAACGCTCGATAACGCCGTTTTGATAGTGATGGTATGCAATCGCTCGCTCAGCAGTGATACCTTTGTTCTTTAGGAAGTCACCTAGTGATTTCCCATTGAACTCGCCTCCATTGTCCGACCGGACAATCTTCACCGATAGACCAGTGGATTTCTCCAGGTGCTGGACAGTTTCCATGAGATACAGCGTTGCATCCGATTTCAGTTCAAGAATCTTGATCTCGTTATACCCCGTCCCGATGTCCCGTATCGTTAAGACGTAGCGCCCGCCCGTCATTGTAGGTACTTCGAAAGGTCCAATCAAGTCGACAGTCAATGCTTCCAACCTCCCAAAAGTCCGACCCTCCTTTTGAAGTGATGGGGCCATCTTGCTTTTCGCGATTAGGCAAGAAGAACAAACAACTTTTCCGGGAGGCAAGGCACCTGGAAGACCCAATCCCATTTTAAATTTAATCATGCACCGCAAAGTCCTTAGGCTGACATGACCAAACTTTTTGTGAAGAAAAAGCAGATACTTCTCAGTAGCTGTCAGGGAGGGAGCCTGCCAGTCAGAACCGCGAGGTTCGGGAACAGTAACTAAAAACGGTTCATCATTATCAGGTGCGTCCATAGCGCGGAAGGTGGGTGGAAGTACAACAGTAGTATAGGTAGAGACAGAAGCAGGCGAAACAGTACAGTCGACTCCCTATTAAGCCATACCCCTTGGTGGACATGTTTTGCTATGGGTTAAGGGAGAGCATGGGTTAATAAGTCAAGTTTTTAGGCATTTTTCCCATTTTGGTGGAAAAATTTCCTCAAAAAATGTATGGCTTAAGAGGGGTTATGGGTTAATAGGTCATGGCTTAAGAGGGAGTCCACTGTATTAGGGGAAGGGACAGTAGATTCAGATGAGTAATAGGTCGGGGAAGAATGCAGAGTAGGGGAAAAAAAAGAAACAGAAGGAGCAGGGCAACGGTGAGGAGAAGGAAAAGACCATTTGCGTGTTCTGGGGTTGAAACGACAGATAGCCCATAACACATGATCAGAGAAAACGAGAAAACTATCAGAGGAACAATCGTAAGAAAAATGGAAACCCGCAAGTCGGAGAGCAGCCGGTGAGATGAGGGTGACATTGGCAAAAGAGCAGTACAGTACATCCTTAAGAATCACCATCGTTCCATTGGCCCCAGTAAAAGCCATGGACCCCCGCGCTGTGATAAATTTAGAGTTACCATCAGTGGCTACCTTCAAAGGGATAGGATGAGGTAAGACAGTAACATTAAACAAGGCTGACTTATCACCAGTCAAGTGGTGAGAGGCACCAGTGTCAAACAGAGCGTCTTGTGGGTTCGAATCGCCAGCCGGATTAGCGGAAACATCGAGGTTGTTAAAAGAAGGGTCAGAGGGGGGAACACCAGCAGGTTCAGCAGCACGGGCGGAAGGACGGTTGGATTGCTGGCCGTATTGGGGGCGGTAGGAATCCATGCGACCGCGTTGAACAGGAATAGAATTGGGATTTTGCTGGTTAAGGCGGGGAGGATAGTACATCGGGACCGCACCAGTTGGGGCGATGATGGGATAGTAAGCCTGGAAGCCCGGAGGGATGGGACCATGTTGGGCCTGAGAGCGTGGTTGTTGGTTTGGAGGACGGGTCGCAGGGTCCGGAGCAGTGCACTGGCCAATGAGATGATTAGGAGAGCGACAGCGGAAACAGATACGGCGATTCTGTTGAGGATTGCCGGCCAGAGCATACACATTATCGGGGTGACTGATAATGGAAGCAGAGCGCTCCTCACGAGGGCGTGGAGCTTGTTCGGCAGCCATGACGTGGGGTAAGCGTTGAAGGTTGTCGAGGGAGTCGACAGCGCGAACCTGACAGATAGCCTCACTAAGAATTCGCCAAGTCTTCTCAAAGGTGATGACCTGTCGGCCGTTCAGCGCGAATTCTGCATCAATCCTTCGATCGAACTCCTGGCGAAGATTGGAACCCTGAGGGATGGAGTCGTGAAGTATAAGAGGGAGAAGATCATCATAGGCCAGGTAGACCCCCATGTCGCCAAGCTCATCAACAATTGCTTTGTACTGGGTGGCCACACTTGCAGGGTTAGAGGTCATATCCACTTGGATACGAAGCAGTTCGCGCCATTTGGTGAGCATGCGAGCCTTGCTGACCGAGCTGAAACGGGCCTTGATAGCCTCCATCATCTTGTAGCTGGATTCCTTGGAGTAGAGTTCGTGTTTAAGGGAGCTGTCGATGACGCCAAGAAGGATTCGCCTGCCAGCAGGCTCCAACCTCGGACGGGCGCAGGGGGAATTGAAGAAGTCCTTGTCCTGCAAGAAACTCAGGGCAATCATTTCGATGTCGCGGGTCCAGGCCCGAAAGTTGGAACCATCGGCCGAGAGGAAGTTGACTGTGCCGAACTCCTGGATGGCATTGTTAACCATGGAGTTGATGCCGCGCTGGTCATCCATGATCCGCTGATCATCAAGAGTGGGCGGAGGGGGCAGGGGGGTGTGGTCGCGATGACGTCGCCTAGTGTCCACATTACGGTCATCGAGGTTGCCCCTAGGGCCAAGGGGGGGAACACCGTCGTGTTGGTCATCGAGTAATGTATCATTGTGGAACGACGCATCGCCAGCGTCCTCCAACGAACCAGGGGTCATGGCGGGTTGATGGCGGACCGGGGAGTGGCGGACAAAAGGCATGGTAACAGGGGTGAGAGATTTAGGGACGGAGTAGGAAAAATAGTAAAAGAAAAGTAATGACGATACGGCGGCGTGGAGAATGCAAAAAATTGGAAGAAGTAAAAAATGAGAAGGGGAGAACGGCAGCAAGGGGAGGCGAAGAGATGAGGAGAAGAGGAACAGCCCCAAGGCTGAAAGGAGAAAAGAACCAGCACCACACAACAGCGCCGGCACAAGCGCGGAAACAAGGCGGAACAAAGCCATACCCTGGCTGAAAAAGGGAGAAGGATGGGAGTGAAGGCCACACAGGCGTAGAGAGGCCACACAGGCGCAGAGAAAAAAAAGCTCTTCGTCAAACGAGAAGGCTCATAACCTAAAAGAGCAAGGACTAACAAAAGTAGAGTATATTACGATGGACAGAGAGGAATATACAACTGCTTTTGTTCCACACTATATATAGGCTACTACAGGAGGCTGAGGCTCTCGGCGAGACATATTTAATATCTAGGTTACTAGTATTACATGGTAGTATGGAGTGATCCGGTGATCTTAGGATCAGGATTACTCTATGCTACAACATGTTCGCCCGCCTACAATTAATATACAGATTGCCCGGGGCATTCAACCATCATCCAATCGGCTTTCCAGAATACATGATTTTTCTGCTCAGGATAGGAGTGGTAAATAAGGGCGCGTACCACAGCGCTTCCCACTTTGAAAACGATTTGGACCCATTTTTTTTTGCGCTTTTTTTAAAACGGAACCAAAAATCACCTCTTCCAAAAACGCGTACCACACACGCACTTCTTCATCTCGTCTATCTCCCGCATCCCTTGGTCCATTCCATATCCTCACTCACATCACAAACTATTCAACATGTCCTTTTTCTACTTCTTATGGGTCACTTCTTCTCCGTTTGTTCCGATCGATCGTTCTTTCTCATCAATCATGTTTTTCTACCTTTCCTATCAAGTTTTTATTATGACTGTTTTTTGGTCACCGATCCTTATTGCGATAGATCAATCGGTCCGATTGATCGATTGCTTTTCTTTATTATTTACTTATTGATTTGCTCATTGATTGTCTTCTTATAATCAATACACAATCAATTCTTCTTAACAATCAATCATTAATTTCAATTGTTTTTTTTGTAATCATTGCACGAGCGATCGTGCTTTGCGATTGTTGGTTGTTTTGTAATCAATGGACAAATTGATTGTGCTTTGTGATCTGCAATCATTGGTTTTTTTGTGACCAATGGTTGATTCGATCGTTTTTCGTTGTTATTTGCTTATGGTGGTAGTGGTGGTAGTTGATCATCCGACCCATCGGATGGTTGAGCTGGTGGAGAGATCTCAAAGAGAGTAGCAATGGCATCTATCACATGTAGAGTTGTGTAGTGTCCGGTTGCTTCGGAGAAAGGTGGCATGGTGCGTTTTTGCAAACGGGGGTGGGGCCGTTTCCTCAAACGGCAGCAAAAGTGAAAAAAATGATTCTGGGGTTGTCAAAAAAACTGGCCCCCGTGGTACGCGTTTTTGGTCAAAAACGTTTACTGCCAAAAAAATTGGAAATTGGCAGCCCGCGGGCGGCTATGGTACGCGCCCTAAGCTTCCTCGAACTCGTTTTAATACCATCACAATAACTGCCCGCATCGGCCATCGGATCCCCACGGCACCGGTCATCCTTACCGCCCCGGTCATCCAAAGCGCTGCACGTGCCTCACAATACATTTGGAGGTATCCCCCACCTCGCTTTCATTGTCCGATTCACCTTGATACATACCCTCCTTTATAGGTTCATTCCCGAATTTCCTTGCTCTTTCTCAATGCAAAGCAAATTGGCTGCACATTCATTAAACGTGTTCCTTGTGAGATATGTACAATGGTGCTGGTGAATAATGCGAAGGAGCATTCCGCAAGACCGATTTTTTTTTTCAGTGATTGAGGCACATAAGATTGTAAACGGATCGAGAGCAGAAGTCGATTTGAAACGCTTTGCAGAATGGGGGTTGATAATTGCTATGATCTTGAGTGGAGTGTGGCAAAAGAGATGTTGAACCAAACAATCGGAAAGAGAATTGCGGAAGTCGTGTTCTTTAAGGACCCCCAAATCAAGCAAAGTGAGCTCGACAATGGCTGTTGATGGGCCCGGAGTGTACTCGTCACCGATAGGGCTTCATTTTTTTCCTCACAGGGTTTCATAAACCGGCAGTACATAGCAATAGCAATAGCAGTCGGACATCCATCCCGCTCTCCCTTCCAAAATCATGATTAATGTCAGCCTGCTACTATTTAGAGACAACCTGACCATAGCATAAAAATATTTAAAGAGACATTATTACATATACTACCCCCATAGCATATGTAATTAATGTCTATTTTATATGTACATAATATAGAGACATTATTACATATGTACATATAAAAACATTAATATTTAAATAAGTGGAATCACTATAAAAGGGACATTATTACTCATTACATTAAGTTTTACTAGTCATGAAATAAAACATAAAAATAAACCAAAAACATTTATAAATAAACATTTTTAACATGAATCTACAAATAACTTCTGAACCTTAATCAAAAGTTAGAATATTATTTCAGATTCTTAATTCTCATGCAAAATAACCTAGGGTACCTCACCAGAAGCACCCCTGAATTATCACTCCTTCATGTACTTCTGTGTACTCTGAGTGACACTTGCCCATTTTGCTGAAAACCCTCCCAGTTACATCATACTACATGTTGTGACAGGTCTACACATGTAATTAAGGTTCATGCAGTTCGGGAAAAATCTACAAATAAGGTTGACATCATTGAAACCTTAATTACATTGTCACAACAACTGTAACTGGCTGGTCAGCCATTTGTGGCCCTTTTTGGCCCAATTTGGCTAACTACGCCTGGTTAAGACCAGCCCACTGGTCATTAAAGGGTCCCAGTGACCAGACCATGGCTGCAGGTTCGTCACAGCACCCCTTAGTATGTGTTACAAGCCTCACTTCAGCCCTCTGCCACCTGTAACCAAGGACTACAGGTGTCTAGGCTGTGCTACAGGTCACCAATGCCTAGTAGGAGGCTTGCACCAGCCAAACAGAGTTCTGAGTTCGCCTCCAAGGGCCCAGAATGAGTATATAAGGAGCCCTTCTTGACCACGAACTCAAATGCCCCATCTTCATTACCATTTTACCAGCAATAACCACCTCCAACAACCAGTTTTTCACCTGTTTTTGGCCCAGTTCCTGCTGTTTCTGTCTTGGATATCACCAACCCAACCATCAACTGTTCCCCAGCACTCTTCCAACACCTGTTACCCAGTTTTCTGAGCGCTCCCAGACCAGTTTTCACCCACCTGAAGTCCCCTTGGCTTGGAAATAGTACTAAGTAGGTAATATTTCCTTGATACTTCAGTTGTAGGCATTTTGTCTGGGCATACTCCTTTACACAAAGGACCAGATCATCAGGTACATCAAAAATACCCCTGTTTAACAGGTCCTGATTCATTGGAGGGCACCATAAAAACCCCTGTAACTCAGGCCCCTCCCTTTATAAAAACTTAACAGTTTTTATTATCTCTTTTCTTAATATCAAACACCTCCCATTCCAAGTGTTACCCACACTTGTACACCTTTTTTCTTAGCTTTGCACCTGGTGTAGCTAGAAGAGTCAAGCTCTTGGCATCACCCAGGCTGACAATTGGGGGTCTGGCCGGGAAATTATTTTTATCTTTGATAAAAACCTGGTACTATTTTTTTTTAAAAAATAAAACAAAAACACATACAAAAAATCATATTTTTTTACTCCTTCCTCTTGAATTTTTTCTACAAAAATCAAACCACTTAAAAATCTTATAAAAAGCTCAAAAATAATCTTAAAAAAACATTTTCTTACTAGCCTTTTTCCTTACCTTTTTCCTTATAGTGGAATTGCAAGAAACCTCGAGACTAATCAAATACTATCTTGAACTCTTTACCTCCGAAAAAGCACAGCGAGCAGCTCTCTATCAACCTACACCTTGGGAGTTACTTACCCCTCAAGAACAACGCGACCGCGCCCTTGCTCGTGTTCAACTCAACGAAGAAAAAAGAATAGACAACCTGTTTGCCTTTAACGCGCTCAAGCGCCAGCATAAAAACTGTCGCCGCGAATTATTAGCAGAACTTAAAGCCAAAAGACTCGCAAAAAGTACGTCAAATAGTTCTCTTTTGCATACACTAGCCTTTCTTATTCCGAATTTTTTCTAATAAAAAAAAAAAAAAAAAAAAAAAAAAAACTTTACGCTTCTTTACCGACAGTGTCTGTTACCTCTAGTTCCAGCGCTGCTACTACCCCCGCTGCTCAAACCGCGGTTCATAGCCCCATCTCAGGTAAGAGACGAAGTTTTAACTAAAAACTTTGCTAAATATCCTTTCTTAACAAGCAAGTAAACTAAAAAGAATCCATTTCTTCATTTTTTTTCGGGGACAAAACGATAATGTCTACCAGGTCCAACAACCCCGACCTGCACGGTCCCCTTCCCCCAGCCACTCGACCAAGGCGCAGCAAGTCAACTGGAGGAACGAGTCAACCGTCTCCGGTTGATCACGATCCAAAAGAAGCTACAGCCTGTCTTGGTCGAGAAACCGACCGAGGCGACATTGGTCAAAAGAGACTTAACAACAGTGACGACCGCTCGATCGTCGGTTCAGAAAACCAACTTAGCCATAGTCCCAGAAGGAACAGCCCCGGCGACAGCTCCGGTAGAATTAGCCTCGGACGCGATGGACTTGGATCCCCAAGCCTCGTCCTCCTTGGCAAGTACCCAGAAACGCCGTGAATCTCCGGAAGTCAGAATGCTTTCGAAGGAAGAGAAGATTCAGCTCTTGACGAAAGAGCACATTCTCCTCTGGAAGAGGTGCGAAGCCGCTCGACCATCAGGGGCGACAGAGGAGCTCAAAGCACTCCTCTGTCAAGCCCAGGAAAGTCAAAAGACTCTCCAAAAACTGATTCCTCGCAAAGAGCTTGAAGAGTTCGTCAAGGGCTGGAACCCTTGGACGATCAAGAAAGAGCTCTACCCGAGCGCTCCGAAGAAAGACGGAGGGAAGAAGCGCAGCTCCTCCTCCAAAGACGCGAAGGTGCTTTACAAAGACCCGAATCGATGGAAGAAGGTCATGAGAGGCTGCAACATCTCAGAGGCAGCTTACCGCCACATGGCGGACTAGATCTGAAAATTCTTACTGCTATACTTGATAGCCTAGAATTAGTTAGTTGAAATCTTTCAGCGATTGATAGCAACGGTGATGGGAATTTCAAAACGCTTGTAATAGCTGAGACGTTGTTACTTGCTATAACAACATGGCTCAACATCGTGTCCGTGCAATTTGACA